AAAATCATAAATCTTATATTTATGTTATAATATACTATTATTTATTTAGATTCAGTAAATGGATATATTATGACGTCATTGATGGTGAATATGCAAGTATAAAACAAAAGCAAATAATTTACCATTAATTATTTCTGCTAAGTGAGGTTATATTTTGCTAATTTTAGTCGAAATAAATATCTTAAATTGGTTTTACCTTACTGTGAAGCTACTTCAAATAAACCTGACCGAATTACAATCATTTGTAACAGAAAAATTAACTATTGGAAAATTATTGATTTTAAATAATTATATTATTTATTAAATTTGATGAAATTAACAGTAGATTGATACATATTATGTTTAATTATAAATTCACAAAATATATCAAGCAACGAAGACTTTATACAAGATTTAGTATAATAAAACATAAACAATATGAATAAACAAACATTTTATATTGTTAAACAAAATTATGCCATCAAAAGATTCAAATGTTTTTAAACTTCAAATTGTTTAAATATTTTGAATATCTGTAAAAAAAAAAAAAAATGTAATTAATATAAAAAGTATAAACATAACAACAATAGTTTTTTTTATAGTAGTTACCTAAAGTCTCATTCAGGTTTTTAGTAATAATAATTAGTGTGGTGATATGTATACATTTTGCTGAGTACTATAGTTTATGAATATATACATTTAAATTAAATATGTTTATTAGTTGTATACTCATTGGAAAAGTATTAAGATAAATTGCTAACAGTATATTAAAATATTGCAAATTTTTAATKGTATTTAAACATGGTAACAAAATATAATGTTACAYTTTTAGTAATGTAACAGATTGTGTTAAAATATTTAAATCGTTGGTATGTAAAGGATTGAAAAAAAATACAAATGGGTTAATGGTTAATTCATTATGATAAATACTCAAGTGCAAATAATAATGAAATCAGAATTTCTGCTTATATAAAACAAAATAAACAAGTACCTATTATAAGGTGGGCTCCCTCACACTTTTATCCAGGCTTGAGACTGGCAACTCATACATAATAATAATAATAATAACATTATGTGGGTAATTAGTTAACGGTTTACACGTTCCTTTTTAAATGCTATTTTAGTCAGAAAGTTAATATTTTATGTAATATTTAAAAACATATTATTTTTGGTTGGTTTATGGTTTTTGTATGTTCTAGTTTAAAAGCATTGTTATATTTTTTTTAGAACGATAACATAATATACATCTTTGCTGTTTTTTGGCCATCTTGTATGATTGAAACCCAATTAGAACGTGTTTGTTTCAGATATGCTATATAATGACCAGAGCTTGTGTTTTGTCCATTATGGAATATAGCAGCATGAGGTTTGTAGCACGCTCCAGCAATTTCTAAAGTAGTAGATGGCACACCACAAAGTTTTAAATTGGTTATCTTGTTGGAAACAAATTGTCCGTTTAAGGAAATTGTAGAAAATAATTTTAATTGAATAATTATATATTCGTGGGCTAATATTATCTGATGTTTTCTTTCATAACCACCAATGTTATTACAATTATTGCATCTGTAGTCTGATATACTGGACCATACATTTTGATCAGTTGACAATAATATTTGCAGAGTTTGTGATCTGTCTTGTGGAATATCCAAGTGTAGGATCAAACTCGTTGGTGCATCACTGGTTGTTGTTGTACTGTACAAATTACAACGACTGCTATACAATTCTTGAAATCCAAATAATGAATCAAATGTGTGTATGTTACGGTTCATAAGTGTTTCTAAAAATTGTACACAATCTTGTTGTTCTACTCGAGTATACATTATTGTATCGTTGTCCAAATATTCTATGATTCTAATGTTAGATGAAATACTGTTATTACTATATTCCTCTAGGCATTGTTGAATTATTGGTCCAAGTTCATAATTGTGAATTTTRTGTACAAGTGATTCACAATGAAAAGGTACCTGTATGACAGAATTAGCATAACATGAGACATTATCATTATTTGTAAAGCCACAAATGCTACTTTATATTACGTCTTATGGCTTTTTTTTTTTTATAAATTTATTAAGGCTCCGATATCAAAGGTCTTTAGCCTGCATTAAATTAATATAAATAAGTGAACATTATAATTATTACAATTATTTAAATGTGTTTACAATTTATGACTTATGTTTATGCTATGGAAGAATACATTGATTGTGTCCGTATTGTCTTCATTGGGTGCTTGATGGAGTGAGGTGGGGTTTTTGAGGATCTTGCGGGCTTCCGTGTATACGGTGCAATTTATGATGATATGTTCTAGTGTTAGTGTCTCATTGCTAGTATCGCATACTGAGGCTGGTTCTTTTCTTATGAGATAAGCATGAGTTAAATGTGAGTGGCCTATTTTACCTCGAGTAATATTTACTTCATCTCTTCGWTTAGTGTTGGGAGGATATTTTAATTTTTTAATAGATAATTTTACGTTTCTCAGTTTGTTAGAGAGGGGTAGGTTAGACCAGAATTTTTKCCATTCTTCAATTAATTTATGATGTATATGTTGACATTTTCGGATGAGGTTGGTGTGTTTATCTTTGTGGAGGAAGGAGATATGGTGGTTTCATAGGCTATAGAGTCAGCTTTCTCATTTCCGGGTATCCCAATGTGAGAGGGGACCCACATGAAGCTTGTTTGTCTATTTATTTCAGATATTAGTTTCTGGATATGTTGGACGAGCTCGTTTTTTGAATAGGGGTTTGATATTGACAAGAGGGCGCTCAGAGAGTCACTGATGATAATGCTGCAATTTTCCGGGTTTRAAGATAAGACAATTTTTAATGCTTCATAAATAGCGTAAGTTTCGGCTGTATATATACTAGTGGAAGGCAGTAGTTGGGAAAGATGATTTTCCTGGTTTCGATGACGGAGAAACCCACACCATTTGTATTTTTAGAGGCATCGGTGTAAGTTTGGGTGTATTCTGGGAATTGTTGGTGTATTATTTCCAGAAACTGGTTTCGTATAATTAAATTGTCAGTGTTTTGTTTGCAGTATTCAGTCAGTTTGGTGTTAATGATTGGTGACCAGAGCCAGGGAGGRTGAGACGGTTGAATTTTATTTACCTAGTGTTTGTGCTTGGAAGAATAGGTTTTCACTAATAGTTTTAAAGTTTTCAAATAATGTTATTCTAGAGGGTGATAGATTAGGGGGTAATGGGTTGTGAAGAATATGGTTGGTCATGTGATCAGGCAGATTTTTAATTTTAGTTACATATTTTAAGATATGTTTTTGGCGTCTGAARTGGAGGGGAGCTTCTCCTGCGTAGTAGAGTATACTGTCAACTGGGCTCGTCCTAAAGGCTCCTATGGCTAAACGTATGCCTTGATTGTGTATGGGTTCTAGGGTACTTAGCACTTTTTTTTGCTGAATTGTAGATTATATCTCCTTAGTCTATTTTTGATAGAATGAGGGCTTTGTAGACTGTGATTAGGCTGTTTGTGTCCGCATCCCAGTTGTTATTCCCAAGTATTTTTAACGTCTTAGTTCTTGATTGGCATTCCGTTTTTAATTTTTAAGTGAGGTCTCCAAGTGAGTTTGTGGTCAAAGATGAGGCCCACAATTCGAATACTATTTGCAAAAGGAAATTGTGTATTCATTAAATTTAATATTGGTAGGGGGTCCTTCTTCTTTTTAATGAAAACAATACACTGTGTTTTGGTGGAAGAGAAACTGAGACCAGTTTCAGAAGACCACCTGGCAAGAGAATCGAGTGCTTGTTGGAGGAAAAGAGTAGTAGTTATAATTTGTGATCTACTGCAATATATGATGCAGTCATCGGCAAAGAGAATGAATTTGGCTGGTTTAGGTAGGTTATTGCATATGTTGTTTATTGCTACCAGGAAGAGAGTGACACTAAGTATAGACCCTTGTGGAAGTTCATTTTCAATGGTGTGTGTTGATGAGGTCTTGTCGTTGACTTTGACACTAAATGTTCGGTCTGCTAAGAAGTTTTTTATGAATTTGAGGAGGTTGCCGTTTATTTTCCGTAAATGGAGAATTGTCAATACTCTTTTTTTCCATACAGTGTCGTATGCATTTGTTATGTCCAAGGCTATTGTGATGAGATGATGATTACGTCTGAACGCTGAGCAAATATCAGTGTGTAATGAAGTTAATGCATCTAATGTTGAGTGGTTTCTTCTGAAGCCACATTGTTCTTTGGTAAGTAGTTTGGTTGATTCTAAGATCCAGATTAGTCGTTTATTTATTATTTTTTCTATTAGTTTACTTAGTGTGTTAATCAGTGATATAGGTCTATAATTTTCGATGTCGAATTTATTTTTGTTGGGTTTTGGAATGGGAACTAGTAACTACAAATGCATGGCGCCATTGGTTAGGGAAAAACCCCAGGGACCCTATGCTATTATATATTTCATTGATGGTTTTAATTCCTATTGGAGGGAGATTTTTTTATAAATGAGTACGGAATGTTACCAGGGCCGGGGCTTTTGCTTTTACAGCTTTGAAGTGCAGCAAGTAGTTCTGAGATGTCTATTGGTTTGTTGAAGTGTTCATTGTTTTGGTCCATTGATGATGTGGGGATATCTGGAGAGGAGTTTCTGAGGGTTATGAAGTCAGAATTGTAATTCTCGTCGTTATTGKTTTTATGGAAATAATTTACGAAAGCTTCAGAGGCATTTTGTGAAGATGTTATTTTTTCTTGGTTAGGTTATCAGGGTTGATGTTGAATTTATTGCCTCTGATGGAGTTTATTTTATATTTTTATTCCATATGATGTTTGGGGGAATTTTGTGCTTTATAGATGACGTACAATTTTTCCAAGATAATGTTTTACTTTTTTTTTGCGATAAAGCGCGCTGTAGATCTGTTTTTTTTAAGCTGAATGTGATCAATGATGGATAGCGTCTTAACATTCTTTGTTCCACCATGGAACATATTTTTTGATGTTTTTATATGTTTTAAGTCCAATTGATAAGTTAGCTGCTTCTATAATAATGYCAGTGAATTTTCTAACTATTGTGTCCATTTCTAGTTGATTGCCGTATAAGTTTAAGTCTAATGGGTTTTGATTTAATTCGAATTCAATTTTTTCAGAGAAGAGTTCCCAGTTAGAATTTTTAGGGTTCCATTTTGTGAAGCATTTTTTCCCCTCGAGGTGGCTTTGGTACTGAATTTTAATGGGCCAGTGGTCGCTATCGCTGTAGGCTGGAAGTACTTGCCTGTCAAATAAAGTAGTGGAGTTGATGCAAGTGATTGTCAGATCTATTGCAGAAAAATTTCCATTTGAGACATTGTGTCTAGTAGGTTCATTGTTGKTTAGTAGAATGAGTGTTTCTTCTTCTAAAAAATCTTCGACCATATGGCCTCTGTGGTCTGTATAATTGCATCCCCATGCGGCCCCATTGAAGTCACCCAAAATGACGAATGGTTTAGGTAGCTGCTTAATAATATTCTTTAGGTGTTGCTTGGTTAAAATTTTGGTATCGGGGATGTATATATTGCATATACATAAAGGTTTTTTAAATTTGACTAAGGTTGCGATGGCTTCGAGATCAGAGATAATTGGTATATTTTCAGAATCGATGGTGTCTTTGATGAAAGTAGCTACCCCACCGCTTGCCCTGAGAGTGTCGGCTCTGTTTTTAAAATAACCGGTGTCATTTTTGATACTTGCTGAGTGGTTGCTCTTAAGGTTGGTTTCCTTGAGACATAGTATTGAAGGTTGAAGATCGTATATAATGCGATTGATGCCGACAGAACGACGTAYGTGAAGTTGGCCCTTCAACTATGTTAAAACATTTTGAAAATTATGCTCAGAGTTAGCAAGTAGTTTGCAAGAATTTGTAAGACTATTTTTAGAATTTGCAAGTTCAAATTATGGAAGTTATCGGAAATAATGATACTACAGGGCCAACTTCACGCAACCCTTCAAAGCCAACCCAGAAACTCCAAACTGGTTTTAAAACATTTCCAACAGTTAGCAAGAGTTTGCAAGTCCATTCTCAGAGTTTACAAGTAAGTTATTCAGTCAGGGCGAGCTTTCAAAGTTTTGTGCCCAGCCCTTCAAAGTCAACCCAGAAACTCCAAACCAGTTTTAAAACATTTCCTACAGTTAGCAAGAGTTTGCAAGTCCATTCTCAAAAAAAATCTATACTCGATAAAA